AGTGCACCCATGTTGTGCAATGCCAGTATAGGATAGAAGAGGCCGTTGGATCCCATGGAATTGGAGTTACAGATGGTTGTTAGCTGCCGTATGGGTACTGGAATTCCAACCCTGGTCTTCGGCAAGAACAACCAGTGTTCTTAACTGCTGAACCACTTCTCCAGGCCTGAAGGATGTTTAATTTTCAGCTTAAATCTGTCTTGGCTACAAGAGTTGGTTATTTAACCTAGCATTAATCTAGCTTCTGCTAAGGATGTATTTTATAGATATAATTCAAATATCCAAACACTTGATTTTAAATAATTCCAACCCTGGTCTTCGGCAAGAACAACCAGTGTTCTTAACTGCTGAACCACTTCTCCAGGCCTGAAGGATGTTTAATTTTCAGCTTAAATCTGTCTTGGCTACAAGAGTTGGTTATTTAACCTAGCATTAATCTAGCTTCTGCTAAGGATGTATTTTATAGATATAATTCAAATATCCAAACACTTGATTTTAAATAATGTAGATTACATTCGATAATATAATTGAACTTCATCAAAGAGACTTTTTTGGGGGGTGGGTGTAGAAGAGGAAATTCTGCCTCAAGCAGGACAGTTTAACTCTAACTGGGTTTCCAGCTCCTGGCCTATTCTGCAGGTCTCAGACTTTCTAGACAGGGGAAATATTTCTTAAAACCTCCTTTCCCCTAGATTATCTCCATCTCTCTTTTTGAAACTGTCTTCTGTCCCAGTATGTCTGTTATCTTTCCCTGCCATTCTCTCTTTTTTTCTCCATCTCTCCTCATAGATATGTTTCTGTGTATGTGTGATGAGCACATTCATAGAACATAAAAATGTAGCATATATAGCTATAAGTATGCAATAAGAGTTACATATAAACACATAAATGTAAATTTTGTGTGCTAAAATTCTCTAGCCATTCCTGAAGGATGCTAAAAATTCATTTGTTTGAGGGATGTGCCATATATTAATGAAGATCATCTTCATTAAGATACTAAATTTTATGATATGGGTGTTATTACAGAATTTGAGTAACCATATTTAAGATTATACCATGTAATTAGACGGACTGAACCCTATTTCTTAGGATCTGTAGATATCAGCCAATACCATGACAAAAATATATCCAGACCAAAGAAATGATCACTTGATTTTTCACACATACACCTCATTTATAGAAAAGAAATAGAAGTAGGAAAAATCAAGGGAATGTTATTTATTATTTAAGGTTTGTTTTTTTTTTTCATTCATTTTATCAGATGAACGTGCAGTTTCAGACTGTGCCCAATTCCACCATGGTAACTGAGTTTCTCCTGGAGGTTTTTGCTGAGACATGGGAGCTCAGGCTCCTGGTAAGCATGCTCTTCCTGCTGATGTTCCTGGGCAGCCTGATAGGAAACTTTACCATCACCATGGTTACCACCATTGACCAGAACCTCCATACACCCATGTACTTCTTCCTCAGAAATCTGTCCATCTTAGACATGTGCTATATTTCTATCACCGTCCCCAATGCCTGTCTCAACACTCTCACTGAAAACAGGGGCATTTCTGTGGCTGGGTGTGCTGCACAGATGTTTTTAGTCATTTTTTGTGCCAGTGTAGAGGTTCTATTTCTCACCATAATGGCACACGACCGCTATGCAGCCATCTGCAAGCCTCTCCTCTATCCTGTTATCATGAACCACCAATTCTGTGTTCAGATGACTCTGGCTTCCCTACTCATTGGTCTTGTGATAGCAGGTTCACACACTGCTAAAACATTCCAGCTGTCCTTCTGTCACTCTAACTTGGTCCCGCAGTTCTTCTGTGATGTCCCCTCCCTGCTGAGGCTCTCTTGCTCGGACACCTTTAACAATGAACTCCTAATTCTTCTAACGGCCATCATCATTAGTGGTAGCTGCTTTATCTTCATTGTTGTATCATATATTCACATATTTATAACTGTGTTGAAATTTAATCTCAAAGAAGAGAGAGGAAAGGCATTTTCCACCTGTGTCCCTCACATTATTGTGGTGTCTATGTTCTTTAGCTCTGGTGCATGTGTATATCTAAGACCTCCAGTCATCACAGAAGTAATTCAAGATATGATTCTGTCTGTACTTTATACCATTGTTCCTCCTTTCTTAAATCCTGTCATCTACAGTCTGAGAAACAAACAGATAAAGGAAGCTATAAGGAAAATAATGCTGATATGTTTTTAGCCTCTCAAATTATAAAGATTGGTTTAGATTAATTCTAGGATGTCATTGAGTTTGAAATGTTAAAATGTACTCCTTTTCTGAGATTTATGTGCTATAGCCCTCAACCATCAAACAGCACCTCTAGAATAATATTAAACATTCTTTACTTCCCTATAATTTACTAGCTAATAAATAATTACTTCATAATTTATTTTTAATATCTCTGTGGAGTACAATGTGATGATTTATTACATAATGATAAAAGTAAGTTATTATCTCTTGAAACATACGTTTTAATTTTTGAAGGCTTTTATAGCATTCACATACTTAGCTAAATCTTATGATGAAATGTATTTTTTGCAAATACATATAGAATTAAAATCTAATAATATTTAACATTAGAATTTACTACCTAATATTTGTGATTCATTGTATACTTTTCAAAGTTCATGATCTCATAAATGGTATATTAATAAAATACAGTAGTAATTTATACAGTCACATTTCTGATGGGTACAATGCAACTTAATGCAGATATGTGTCAATCAGATGTCCATAGAGGCCTAAATAACTTGGTTTAAATGTATCTAAAAATAGATCATGTGAAATCTCAATTTAATTAACACATATTTCAAATGCTTTGAAATATAAAAATATATATCCTCAATAGGAGAATTAAGAAAATTATTATTTTAACTTCATTGTTTGAATGGTGAATGAATATCTTCTTTTGATGGTAGGTACCTTTACACCTGAGCTGACTGTTATTTATCCACTACATGCTGAACTGTCAATTTTAAGAGGATAAAGCCACACAACTAGGCAGAGTCATATATTCTTATGATTGGTCTTTCCAGTATATTTCTCCTGAATTTTCTGGATAAAATGTCCACTAAAACATTAATGAAAAGATAATCAGATAATAGAGTCCACATTTAATATGAACCCATAGAAACTCTAGTTATTTCCATTTAGTAATCTCATAAGTTTAATTCCCTTCTTTTAAAAAATTTTTATTTTTATTGAATTTTTGTATTTCATACAGAACATCTAAATCTTAATCATCCTTATAACTCCATCCTCACTATCACTCTCCCATACCCCATCCAATAGAGTGCTTGTTAAGGCTCACTGTGTCATCAGTGTCCCCAGCCCTTCCCCAGTGCATGTCCATCTACTGAAGGTTAGTCAGCCTATCTAGAGTCCTTTGTTTTAGGAAGATCAGCTATTCTTCACCTAGCAGCAATCAGTTGCCAATATTTCTTCAGTTAAGATGGGGGTCTCTTGTTTATATTTCCAGTTCTATGCTGGGTTTTGTCTGACTGAGTTTTGCATGGGATTCGAGTTTTTATGGGACTTGAATAAGCTTTCACCATTGCCATAGAATCATGTGAGCAGGTTTCCAGGAGCTTGTATAACTCTATTTCCATTTCGTCATGCACAGTCTCCCTAGCTCTTACAATGTATTCACCCCCTCTTCTGTGATGGTCCCTGAGCCTTGGAAGGGGGAGTTTTAATAAAGAAGTCCAGTCAAAGGACTACCATTCAGAAGACTCTTAATCTCTATACTTTTGCCATTTGTGACCCTTTGCGTTCTTGACCCTCTGATGCCTGAGGGAGCTTCATTATTGAGAACTGAGAGATTCATTAGTGTCTTCTGTACTCCTGTTATGTGATCTATGAGCCTTAGGCGTAGAGATTGTAATTTTGATTTTTCACTTATGCATTGGCAATTCATAGTCAATACCCGTGTGTGACAAGTTGTGATACTTGGTAATAGTCTCTGTTGCAAAATGAGCTTCTTTGATGAGTGGTGATTGGAATATATTCTATAAATACAAGGGAAACATATTTTGCACATAGTAAGAAATGACATCAGTCCAGTGATGTGACAGTCTTGGGGTTTTCTGTAAGATCTATGGTCATTCCAAAATGTGTATTTATTTGGTTAGGTTTACAGTGTCACACTTGAGTTTCCTCACATTGATTTGGCTTTTATTCAAATTAGGTAGCTGTTGATTGGCCCTCAAGATAAAATGGCCACTACTACACCAATGATGTATGCTGTGCTGGCCATTGCTGTGGTCATTTGGTCTTGAAGCTGGTGTTGGTCTAACGATTGATGTTTTCCATTGTAAAAATGAGCATCCTACCAAAAGCTTTTTATAAACGCAATGCAATGCAATGCCAATCAAAATTCCCATAACATTCTTCATATAATAGGAAAAAGCCATCCTAAGATTCATATGGAAGCACAAAAGAGCAGGGATAGCGAAAACATCCCTGAGCATTAAGAGCAATGCTGGCAGGATGACTATACAAGATTCTAAATGACATTACAGAGTTATCATCATAAACACTACATGGTATGGCACAAAAATAGACCAGCAGATCAATGGAACAAAATTGGAGACCCAAATATAAGTACATGAATTTTTAGCCACCTGATATTTGACAAAGGGTTAATGAACACTCACTGAAGGAAAGACAGCATCTCAGCCAATGGTACTGGCAAAACTGGATCTCTACCTATAGAAGAATGAAACTACACTCCTATCTTTCACCTTGCAAAAGAATCAACTCCAAATAGGTCAAAACCTTAGTTTGTAATCTAAAACTCTGAAATTGTTAGAAGAAAACATTGTAACAACCTACAAGATATAGGTGGAGGAAAGGATTTTCCAAACTGGACATCGATTGCTCAGGAAGTAAGGCCAAGAATCAAAAAATGGGGCCACCTTAAACTGAATAGTTTCTGTACATAAAAAGAAGTAAAAGGGAGTGAAGAGAAAACCCAGAAAGTAGAAAATCTTCACCAATGACATGTATGACAGAGGGTTAACATCCAGACTATATAAAGAACTCAAAAACAAAGAGGCAAGAAAGGAAGTTGTCATGGTGCAGTGACCACAAACCAAGCCTGAAGTGCTTGGGGACCCTGACAGATAGAAATCAAGACAAAGGGGATGCAGAGGTCTATGTGCCAGTACATGTATTTTGTGAACCAAACCAAGCTTATATAGGAATCAGATCTGGAGTAACCAAGGATTAACTAAGGATACATCACTAAACAGAAAGTAACCAAGGAATAACCGAGGATACACTACGTTACTACCAGGAATACATTACTTCACCAACCAAAACTCACATGATGTTTACAGTATCCAAGATTCAGCTGCATGATATTTATAATATCTTAGATATAGGTGTATTGTTTATAATTACTCTTAGCAACTACCATTATTCATTATTTCTACATAGAAACCAAGCTATCAGTGCTGAGAAACTCCGGTGCCCATAAACTGAAACAGAACTCTTTAGTTATGTTTCCAAGACTGCCAATTAATCAGGCAAGCATAGCCTGTCAACTCAGACCACAGAATCAGAGAGCAGGGAAACTCCCAAGGTGGAAGCATTCTTTTTCCAATCCTTAAGTCAAGGCAAGCTGAATAGCTCCCAACAGGAAGTAATCCAATTAAAAGATGGCATAAGGATTTGAACAGATAGTCCTCAAAAGACTTCTCTGTGTTTTAAAACTCAAGTACTTTAAGTCTTAACAATAGGATGCTATGGTCAAGTTCTTAAGGGTAATGGAGATCAATGGCAATAACCTGTAATGTATGGTGTTGGGCAATAATTTCCTCTTCCTGCTGTTTGTCCTGCCCTCACTCTCTCAGGGTCTTATGGGCCAGATGAGGGTCGAACCAGCATAACACACTTTTATCTTGGGTTTCACATGGTTTATACGACAGGGAGGGAGCAACTTACAAAAAGATGGCTTTTCATAATTCTCAGATCATTCAAACTCCACCCACAGTCTCCTTTATCTTTGGCCTGGCATGGTTTCACCACATGGTCTGAACACCACCTGCAGGACACCTCTACCATTCATGGCAGCTGTACACTTCCTAGTCCCAGCTCTAGACCCAAACACCCTTGGCTCTCTCCCTCTTCTAATCTCCCTACTTCTTGCTTTGCTGGTGGCTAGGCTCCACCCTTCTTCCCAGGGTACCCTGTGCTTGCCCATCATTCATGCTTTTCTCTTTTCAGTGGAATGAGTGGTTCCCGGGCCACTCTAATCACATCTGTTAGGTGTGATTAGTCAACAAATTCAAAATAGGGAACTCACCGAGATTCTTATTTAGTGGCCTGTGTTGTCTAATAGGGAATTTTCACCACACTGTATAACTCCACTTTATATAATATATATTTATATTATATATAGGTCATAAACTTCTGCATGTTAGGCTTCCATACAACTTTTTAAACAGGTCTTTTGTGCTAATTATCCCTTCCTGTATTCTATATTTGCCCTGCCCTCCCATCCCCTACCCATTCATTACTTTCTGTTCCATTGTTCCCCTTTTACCATTTACAGCATTGTGTTTTATCTCTGCTCCTTTTTACTTATTCATCAAGAATTTCATGTATATATACCATTTATTGTGATTATATTAATCACTATTTCATCCCTTAAACTGCAACCAGACCTATTCCAACACACCCTTCCCAACTTAATATTTTATATTTTTGTGTTATTCTATATTTTTGTACTTCATATATTATTACTGTATTTCCATATTTTCCGCCCTCACATCCCTCTTCACTTCCAAATCTTCCCACATCCCCCACACATATGCTCTCTCAATTTCTTAATTTCATGATTATTTCCTATACTATTTTGGTTACATATACAAACACATGTGTGTATTCTTGTATAAATGTATAGTATTCTGAGTCCATTTAGTGATACATGTGTTTAAGTGTTTAGAGAGGACCACTTGGGATTGAATAATATCATAGGGAGTCAGCCTTCAAAAAACTCTCCCTTTTTAAGCAGCCATTTATAACCTGATCAAAATGCTGAGAATATCTTTTAAAAAACATTCTACTCTACCTATGTATTGCTGACTATATGGCCATGATGTATAGAGTGGGTCTATCCATTGTATCATGGCAATCTCCCAGAAGTCACATCATCAAATAGAAATAACAGTCTTCCTCAGCAGCCATCAACTGGAAGTAGATACTCAGCTGGTGGTGGGGTATTATGGGTTCTTCCTTCATGCATGTTTGAAATTTGGTTGTCTTGATCTCTTGTAGGTTTTATGTAGGGAACTTCAGACACTGTGAGCTCATGTGTGCAGCAGTCATGGCATGTCATTTCATGAAGTGATAACTGCACAGAAATATTCTTCCCAAACTTTGATCCTTATATACTTTCTATCCTCACACCTGCACTGTTCCATGTACCTTATGGTATGGGGAAGGGAAGAGGTATATGTCCCAATTAGAGCTCAAAACTGACAGTTACCCTAAGCAATTGTACCATTTATGTGTCTCCATATCAAACTTTGCCTAATTCACAAATAAGTGTATCTGACCAATAAGGCACTCTGACAGCTTTACCATTTGGAAAATATTAGCAGTAGGTTTTCCCTGGGACTTATGACCTCTTGAACTGTGGGTATTGACAGTTTTACAATATCATGCATGAATTTCCACTTATAGAGTAAGCCCCAAATACAAGAGGAGAGCTCTTGGTTATGCCATTAGTTGTACCAGTGGCACACCCTGCCAGAACATTGGTATTATTGCATCCATGATCCAGTGCTGGGTAAGATCATTGATGTCGTCTCTTTCCAGCAGCCTGTGTAGCACCTTCTGGCACTATGAAAGGTACGAGCGAGAGTGAAGATTTCTGATCAGTTCAAGAATGTTCTCTCTATGCTCTCCAACAAAAGTGTTTGTGGTGCCTATAAAAATAAGGTCTTATTCTCTAGTTTTAATGGACGGTGAAGAACAACTGCACTACTCTGCCTTTTTTGGAAACTTCTAGGGCATCCATGAGCAATAACATTAAGGGAAGTATCCCATGCCTAGCACTGAGGTTTTCAATTATTAATCCATGTCTCCATAAAGCAGTATTGAACACCTATGTAAGGTAACTATATTGAAGCACCTTCTTTCTGAATCACATTTTAATTAACTTACAAATTAGAGTCTCCATAAGACTTTTTCATAAATCTTGATTAATCTCCCTTCAACTTCTCCTCCCCCTCATCCATGTGCCCTTGTCGTCACTTTTTAACAACATTGTTTCTGTCCTATCTTTTTCATTACACACACACCCTATCTCCTCATAATATACTTTTTATTTTAATTACAAGATAATATATTTCTCTATCATTTTTAATATATCTTAAGTTTTGATGAGTCCCTTCTCTGAACTCCTCTATTCCTCAATGCCTCCACATTGTTCCCTTCTTGAATATTGCTGCTTCCACTATTCCACATCTTTACTTTTGCTTTTCGCGGATTCTACCACCCAGCTTCCCTTAGTGCAACCTTGTGAGTCAGTCTGTTTGTATTTAATAAATGTAATGTAGTATGTCATATTAAACAACAGATTTTGATGCCCCATGTGAGGAAGAGACTATCTATTATGAACTCATTGATCAATGCCTAAGGAAGAAGAGAATGACAGAGCATCCCAGTCATAGCAAAAGTTCTAAGTTTTATGACAAGACTACCAGGGATTTCTTGACAGCTTTTACTGATGGACTTTAATAATTATTTTTCATTTTTGGGGGGCTTTTATCTCCTCCCTATCTTTACCAGGCTCACACTGCAGGAATAAGCTCTAAACATTCCCTTTCATTTTCTTCTTCTGCTTTCACTGTTGGGATAGCATTGTCTCCTGAATCTCACCCACACACCTGGCAAATAATTAATTTACTTAAAGGAACTTGAAGTAATGATTTATCAAAGCAACTTTTTGAGGTATCATGTTATTCAAAAACATTTTTCCTGGTGTCCTAAAAAGAGACTGAGGGAAACTTCCTAAGTAACCACCTGTTATTGAATTTTGTCTGTGTCCTCTGACTAATTCTGCCTTGCCCTCCGGGGTTTTCTCCAGAGCTTGAAACATTTAAGAGACTAGTGGAAGTAAGTAGTATACCTGACTTCTGGAAGCTACGGAGGCTGGACATGGGTCCTCTTAATTCATGCTTTTTCTTCCCTAGATTGCCAGGCCTGTTTTGAAAGAATAGTCTTTCTCCTCCAAACTCCTTTGCTTCATGCTTATTATCTGCTTGATTCTGCATTGTCATATTGATTTAAAACTCATTTTCCAGTTAAAATAATATAGGAAGGATAAAGAGAGGAAGAAGTCTGATATTGTCTTTTTCCAAGTTTTTAAATACAACACATTCTCTACATTATAGATAAATAGTACATGATAACATGTAGTAAATGATAATGTTTTTTTCTAATCGAGACAGGTATACTGATAACATTTGTTAAAAGTGCTATCATAAGGGCTGGAGAGATGGTTCAGGGGGTAAGAACACTGGTCGTTCCTGCACACATGGCAGCCACATGGCAGCTAACAACTACAGTTTTAGGGGATCCAAAAGCCTCTTCTGTCCTCCTCAGGCATTGCATGCAATGGGTTCAGTTACCTACATGTAGGCAATACACTCATACACATAAAATAATAAATAAAAACATTTTCTAAAGTACTATCATAATTTCCTCCTATGTATTTTGAAAACTGTAATAAACACTGACAAATCATACATTTTGTTAAAATGCCAAATAAGTGTTTTGAGGAATTTAGAATAAAGAGATAAACACATGCGGAGCCAAGGCCCTTCTTAAATTATATAATCATTTGAGGTTTGTTATTTTTCTTATTATTTGTAAAGCATTTTAATCTCAAAACTTTTATGGATAACAGTTCATGCACAGACTTAATCAGATTAACTGAGAAGAATCAATCAATTAATTAATTTAATTTAAATGGTTTATTAAGTTCATAGGGCATTATAAAAGAAGTTACATTGGTAAGAGTGAATAAACCAAATAGGCTCTAACTTCTTTGTGGTCACTAATAAAGCAGGATTATTATATACCTCTTATACCTCTTTTCACGTAGTCACTCTTGAGGGGAGAAAAAAGAAATATGTTCTTTTTTTTTCTTATAGATGATTAAAAATGTACCCCTCACCTGTATATGTTTGAGATCTCAAAGGAAAAAAAAATAGCTGATGATTTTATGCATTCAAGCCTGGCCTAAAGTTAAACTTGATCATAACAGAAATGACCTTATCTCCATTCCCCTGTAGAATAAACCTCTATTACACCACCCCTGCCTTGCACACTGTCCCCCTTCTAGCATTGGGCCCAGGCCTGTTCTCCCATCTTGGATCTCTGGAATTCTCTCTTAGTTCACACATGCCCACTCTATCCCAATCTTTTACAGCCAGACTAGGTCAATTATCCAGCTTCTTGTATTAGACTCTCCCTAAGCTGTCCCCAGTCCAATGTCACTCTTGTCCGTTTCTGAGATCTGCCTACTACAGATTCTCCTGCTATC